AACCTACCGACTGCTACACTTACCTTCATGCCTCCAGCTTCCATCCCAGATACATTTCTCAATTTACTGTATACAGCCATACCCTAAGATATAACCAGATTTGCTCAGAGATTCCACAGACAGACACAAGCACTTACAGAATAGCAACACTCCTCCTGACATCTAAAGAAATGGGCTGTGCCCACAAAAGCTCATTGACACCATCTACATGTTTTGTTAGTCTTTAAAGTGCTACCAGGCTATTTGTTGTTTTTAAAGTTTATCCTGTACAAACTAACTTGGCTACCCCCTGAAGCTTTTGAACATTTTGAACATGTTCATCGCTGCTCAATGACCTTGAGGTTATAGTTGCTGAGATTGTGAGGAGAAATTTCCAATAGCCAGCACCTCAAGTTTAACTTGATCTTTGAAAAAATCAGTCCGCGTTCTTTCTGCTTTGTGCATCATTGCCAGTGATGTTGTTTCTGCAGTTGAAACGTAGCTGCCAGTTTGGGTGACAAGCAGACAGTATATCTGATTTTGATTACATCTACTTTGATCTTCTGTAGCTGTAGTCTCTCTGAAGTGCAAATAACAACAATAACTTTTCAGGAAACCAAAGTGATAATAAAAGAGACACAAAGCAGGCATATTGAGTAATAAGATGCTGGATTTACACAATAGCATCTTTAACCATAACCTCAGTGTTATATTAAAATGTTAATGGCTGTCAGCCGATGGTCAGGGCAGTGTGTGTGTGTGTGTGTGTGTGTGTGTGTGTGTGTGTCTGTGTGTGTTATACACCCGAGTCTTCAACTGTTGGAACTCAAGGTTCCATCGCAGCAGCCGGCCTAGGGAAAGCCGACAGGCACCCCAAAAGTTTTACATCCATGTCTTTGACCGCTAGGACCGGGGTCCCTTCGTGGCGGGCAGCCAACAGGCTGACAGATGCCCCAGAGTTTACAGGGAGAGCTTATTACACCTCAGACGTTAACTGCTAGGACACATGATCCCTTTGCAGCGGGCAGCATAGGGAAGCTGAGAGGTGCCCCTCGGATCTGTCCTCTGGAGGCAACACGATCCAAACGCTCAGCTCCGCCTGTGTCTGCTCTCTGACTGGATGAAGTGCTTTTAAATTGTGCTTGGTTCTGTTACAGCAACTGAAGGAGTCAGGTTAAAGCTTAAACAGTTACAGGTTTATTAAAGAAGCTTATAAATCATATGGTTACAATGTCTATTGCTCTATTTCTTAACTGCTAGCAAATATAGATCTTAAAAATGGTTACACAGAAAATAAAGATAGAAAATAGAAATAATGGTACCAAGTGACAGCTTAATCTTTAAAGAGCTCTAAGTCTATGTGTACACTTAAGACAAAGGACACATCCAGGTAAAATTTTTATCCCCTTTTGTGCCTCTCAACTCCAGCGTATCAGGCCAAGGCCGGTCCCTCAATTCCTAGGAAAGACGAATACGAGCTGGATGTCCCCGTGGAGCCTCGGGAGGCCAGTCACCTAACCCGACCAGCAGATAGATGGTAGATTGACACTCAGAGTGAGTGTGCTGCTGGACCCATCTTTATACTCATAGGGGCCCGTATCCTCTTTCTTGTCTAAGATGCCAAATTGTGTTGGTCCGTCTTTGTGACGCCAGTTCTTACAAGGGAGTTTCAACTTAATTTATACTTGCAAGAGAGATACTAAATTGTGAGTACTGGACATTTTTTACTGGGCGGGAGATTCCTC